GAGTGAGGGAGATTGTCGGAGATCCAAGCCCTCGTGCCGGCGCGGGACGGCGTTACGGCGCGTCTGGTCGCCCGGCTCGAGCGGGACGATGGACGAGGCGGTCGAGAGGAGCATCGTGTACTCGGTCGTGTCGGCCGCCTAGGGAAGGTCCCGGGGAGGTCGCGGAGAGGTCGCGGAGAGCTCGCGGAGAGGTGTGGGGGCGAGCTCGAGGAGAGGTGGAGGGGCGGGTTCGCCCTCAGTCCCGGCTCAATCTCGGGTTAATCTCGGGTCAATCTCGGGCACATCTCGGGTACATCTCGGGTCACATCTCGGCCAGATCTCGCCTCGACGACGATGGCGACCAGCGGCTTGGACGGCACCATCGGCACGACCTGCGGTTCCGAGCAGGTTCCGAGAAGGGTCCGAGAAGGGTCCGAGAAGGGTGGGTGCCGAAGGCCGGAGCTCTGGGCGGCGGAGTCGACCAACACGTCGTCGCCTGATCTCCCCCCAGATCTCCCCCGATCTCCCCCGATCTCCCCCTATCTCCCCACCATCACGTCGTCGCCTGATCTCCCCCCAGATCTCCCCCGATCTCGCCCGATCTCCCCCTATCTCCCCACCATCACGTCGTCGCCGGGCGAGCGCTCGACGAGGTCGTAGTAGGCGAGGGGTAGGCACTGCTCTGCGGTGGCGCACGTGCTCACGTACAGGTCCGGGTCGCCTACTCCCATACCTCCAGAGTACCGAACCCAGCGTGTGTGGGTCCGCGGGGTACAGGCCCGGGTCGCCAAAGGTCGGCGTGATGGAGATGGTGACGCTCCTGTCGGTCTCTGCGCGCGCGCCTGAGGACATGTCGCGGACATGTCGCGACAACACGTTGCGTATGGCGCCGCCACACGCGGCGAGGTGCGCGCGCCCGCGTGGCGGTAGAGGAAGGTCGAGGTGTGGCCTTGCACGGTGCTGGCGTGCACCGGTGTGTCGAGCGTCACCTGCCGGGGGGGCGAGGAGGTGTTGGGGCGGGGTGGCGGAGGGGCGGGGAGGTGTTGGGGCGGGGTGGCGGAGGGGCGAGGAGGTGTTGGGGCGGGGTGGCGGAGGGGCGAGGAGGTGTTGGGGCGGGGTGGCGGAGGGTCGAGGAGGTGTTGGGGCGGGGTGGCGGAGGGGCGAGGAGGTGTTGGGTCGGGGTGTCGGAGGCGCGAGGAGGTGTTGGCGCGGGTTGGCTGGAGGGCCGGGTTAGGGGGGC